AATAGAAAATCCAAAAGCGTAACTTTATTCTCCAACACTTAATAAGTTACTTGTGAAAATTTCAAGGTAATTCTTCGTGTATTCAATAAGTTGCATCGTTTTAAAGTAATTAAATTTAATAAATATATTAGCAGTAATTAACGTTAAATTGATATCGATACAATAATTGATTTCATTCGTGTAACGTGAAAATCTGTAATGTATCAAATTCCATAGTTTGCTCACATAGTTTTGATTTACTTAGTTGATTTACCACCCCATTATATACGTACACTGATCTACATTGCAATGTGCCCGACTGCTATAATCGTTTAAAGCCGTGTGCGTTAAAATTACTTTTTTGATGCAACTAGAGTTACTTTTTTTTTGTGGTATAATTTATGTGTATGTAGATCAATATATTGACGCACACGGCTTTAAAAGGACCTGCTATATCCATCTATTTTATAACGCAGGAATGGCAAATGACCAGGTCTTTTGCTTGAACCCAAGACCAATAAACCAATAGACCAAGTTTATTGGTCTTTAGGTCATAACCAAATGACCATTCACATGATACATATTGACCAATAAAAAATTTTTTTTTTAAAAAAAAATCTATTACTTAATGACTACTTATATAATACATATTAACCTAGTCATTTGGTGGTCTATTGATGGTCTATTCGTCATTAATCAATAGACTAAAAAATAAAGACCAAACGACCCTATGGTCTATTGGTCTGTGGTCTTTAATGTGCCATCCCTGTTATAACGTCATATGATGTTCTCTGATTTAATAAAATTGACCAATCAAAATTTTGAAAATCGTATAAAATTAGCCAATAAAACAATTTATGAGGATACTTGAAGAAGCGTGAACCCCTTATATTACATTTTTATATAATCACATTAATCACATTATAATATGTTTACATGCTTAATACAAACAGTAGTATAGACCCCCATATAAATGTATAAGGGGATATTGTAAATGTGATCATGTAGAAATGTGATGTAAGGGATTCACTCTACCAAATTTATGTTTCCCAAATCTGATATTGTTTTCATGACCGAAATGCGCGTTCAGATTAAATGCGTATAAATTTCATTCGAATCTGACATTGTTTTTATGCTTGAGACGTTTAGAGCAAGTACATATAAAAGGTTCCTTTCACTATTCTATTTTTTTTCCTCAACAAACGTCTGTACTATAAAGATTCTTCCACCATTCTATTTTTTTGTTTCTCAACCAACGTTTTATATCTTTTATTACTATCATGATAGCTAATATTTATTTTTTACTTCTACCATACCTTTTATGGTCACTTGAGAATTTCGTTGCTTTCTCTTTTGGCAAGGATGAATCTGCAGACATGTATGAGAGCTATCGAAATTATTGTAATTACTTGCAAGAAGTAATTGCCAATACGGATCTTTCACAAGAAGCACGCGATCATGCTAGGATGCTTTATAATAATAAGAAGGTTAGTTGATTTAGATACCTGTAAAAATTTTTTGCGAATATTTCCGTTGTTTCTCCATATTTTTTGTGAAAACTCCGTGAATCTGCAACATGATCGACAAAATCTAGACAAGCCGTATAATCGCCATGATTAAGGTTATAAATTCCGAAAATATGCAACATTTATGGATCGACTTTTTTTTATAGGGATAGAGATATGATTAGAATGGTATGCTCTTGTAGCTCTTATTAACTTTGACTTGATAAGAGTGGGCTTTGTGTCATCAGCAAGTGGTTAAGATATTCGTATTTCTTAGGCTCTTGCGCTTCTTGTTAACTTTGAATTTGAAAAGAGGACAGTAGGCTTTGCAACTTTAAAACCTGCTGAATTAGATCTATTGATCATAAAAAAGGATACACAATAACAAAGGAACTTGACCATAGTACTTTCTACATCTAAAACCATTAGGACTTTAGTTTCATCTTATTTTACTACAGGCAAAACTCTCTATAGTCATGCCCTCGTTTCAGGAAATTCTAAGCTAATATAGAGGTTAAATTTTATATGGTTTATACGGTTTATATAACTTGGTTCTAAAAATTGATGTGATTATAAGTGGACGTGACTATATAGAGTGTGATTGTAGGAGGCAGACTGTATCTGTGAATTTACTCACCTGATTTTTTATTCTAATAAAGATCGACTATAAAAAGTTAAAGAAAATCTGGGTTACGATTAGTGAGCAACAAGTTCTGAAGGATGTTACAAATAGGAGCGGAGAAAAGCGAAGCATAGTTGCAGATGCTCCTGAAGCCACTGTTTTATACAAAAAGAAGAAGACCAACTCACTCGATCAGGCATTGTCTTATGTTCCGCCGCCCGCCATATACCCATCGGATGCAAGTATTTCGGAAACCGTAACATCTATAAGTGGTATTTGGCCGCCAACCAGATTACGGCGTTGGAGTGAGTTTCTTAATAATGTAACTAGCTTCGCTTTCGATGAAGAGCCGAATAAGCACGAGAAGCCCAAGTTCACAAAAGGGCTTAAGATACGCGTAGAACCAGATGTTGATGCTATAACAAGTGTCAACATCTACCATAATCTGAATACATTAATGGGCCCACGCTACGAGTTCTCTAAGCAAAAGAACTCCGATTTCAAGTCCGGTGATCCCAATATTGGTAAAGGGATACCCGATTCTACATGCCGTGTATTTAGGAATGATGATGGAAACATCATCATTCCTATAGAAATCAAGAGGAATCTCGTAGTTGAATCATTGATCAATGATGAAGAACTGGCGCTGGAAAATACCCATACTAGAGATGCAGTGAAACAAATTTATAATTATATGATTTCACTGCATCTTCAATATGGTGTCCTTTCCAGTTACGACTATCATTGGTTCCTATGCAGGCCAAAAGCAAATCCAACGGAATTGCTTATTTCTGAGGCACTTCCGTTGGAATCAACATCTCCGACGGTGCTTAAGTCCTACGCGTATCTAGCCTATCTCGCGGCAAGGGATCCTACGTCACCCCATCCTAACACAATTCCGGACCGAACTAGAAGCGTACGACAAGCAATTTGACTTTCTTGTTGCAATTTTTTTTTGTTTTTAATTTCATCTTGTTTTTAATTTCTTGTTTTTTTTTTTTTAATCTCGTTTTTTAATTTCTTGTTTTTTTCTTTTTTAAAAAAAAAATTCTGATTTTTAATTTTCTTATTTTTAAATTTTTTATTTTAATTTTAATTTTCTTAATTTTTTTGTTCTTGTTTTTTTTTTTAATTTTTTGTTTTAATAAAAATCTTGGGAAACAAGAATTTAGCGATTGTAAAAATTTATAACTATAAAAAGAAAAATTATACATGGTTTATAATAGAGCTAAAAAAAAATAGTGTGATCATATCAATGTCGTGACTATAAAGAGATTTGCTGTAGTGAATTTAAACACTCACCAAGTTTCTGAACTTTCTATCTAAACTCTAATAATAGAAGCAGATAAATTAGCTTCTAAAGTAGAATCAAATGCTACTCTAATTAATGATGAAAAACCAGAACCAGAAGATAATATAGTCCAACAAGCTAATCAAGCTAATCAAGCTCTTGAAATAGTAATTTTAAAGATTTAAAATAGAAATTTTATATTAAATATATAGTGATTTTAAATATTTAATATGCATCAAAATCTGATCAGAGTCCGAAGCGGTTGTTTTTTAAGAAATATGAAATATGCTATGTAGCCTTGTCCAAAATTTTGATTGGACGCTGCTAACAGACATTGCATGGTTTTGAGAAGTAGAATATTCTCCGCTACAAATAGCAACTTTATTAAATATCTAAAATAGCAATTTATTTAAAATGTAATAATAAATAACAACTTTTAATATATAAAATAATAATTTTAAATATTTATATTCAATTATCTTTAAACGAACAAGACATCCAACAGATTTAGCTCAGTACCGAAAAAGTCGAATTACACTTTTTTCTCTCTATACCAAATTTATATGGTGTATAAATTAACCAATGAATGAATTTCACAAGGTCTATAGTTTTCTTAGGCATTATGTTAACCCATCCACGAAACCTTTCTTTCTTATGCACTTATTTACTATTTATATTTTTACTTAAATTAGGCAACAGTTATCATTAAGATGATATATAAAGGATTCACTTGTAAAATAAGCACATTAAGATTTAGATTATGTGAATAGGGTCCGGAATAGGACGGATTGAGCCAGATCGGGCAGGGCTTTTATAAAACCCAGTAAAATATTTCTAGCCCAACCCGGCGTTAACGTGGATTTCCTGATGTTGTTACAGTCACGGGAGAGACTTTAGATCTTCGTAGCCAATTTAGCAGAGGACTGTAAGCATTAATAAGAAATGAACCAACTAATTTATTAT